GAGGGGCGAAACGTTTCTTTTTAACAAAAAAAACGAAGTCCAGATGACATGATTCAACCTTTTTTGTTGTTATATACCTGGATGACTGAGAAAACAAACTTTGTGTTTTAAGAACCAAGTATCTTGATCTTGGATGCACATTTCATTTTAAAATACATTAAACCAGTCTTTTAAATATTGTTTTTATCATATTGCATTCTTAGGCCACAATATATATCTTCAAGGGCGTCAAAAGCATCCCTAATGTGGGGGGGAGGGACACAATGATGTGTGTAGGTGTGTGTGTGCGCGCCCATGTGTGTGCATGCATGTGCGCGTGTTAAAAAAAATGTGTTCACTAGTGTACAAAAAAGCAACATTTCACCTAGATTTCCTTTAATTCATTTATTTAAAACATGTTTCTCACCAAGTTTGTGTAAATTCAGCTGTGAGTTTAAAGTGATTTTAGCTTTAATACACTTTAATACAGAGCATCAGGTCGGCACTATTTGTGTTTATTGTGAAATAAAAAACATCACCACTAGACATTTTACTTGTGTTCAACACTACTCATCTAAATGATGTTTCTCATGAAGCTTGAGGACAATAAGGTGTGGGGGTTTAAAGGCATTTCAACTTTAATGCACCTGAACACACATCGTCTCTTACACCTGCAGCGTCTTACAGCGTCACAGTTACTGCTAAGCTTGATGGTTGATATGATAATTTGATGATGGTTGATATGATAATTTGTTTAAGAATATATTGACCTTAGGAGGTATGATTGTAGATATTTGTATATGTTTATATGTATCATTGTAATTTGAGATTGTCATTTGTTGTTCTATTTGTGTTCTTTTGTTCTGTATGTTCAGTAGTTCAATAAAGTTAAAAAAAAAAAAAAAGTTACTGCTAAGCTAACATGCTACAGACGTAACACTGCACTTCTCCTAACATGAATATATGTTTATGTTCAACCCCCCCGGTCAACAACTGCTCGCACTAAGCTCACTAAACTGGCGAGCGAGTAACACAGAGGTGTCTCCATCTCCTCCACCTGTGCGCGTTTTCTGCCGAAGCAGGAGGAGACGCGCAGAAACACTGCAGGTGTTACACCATATTCTGTGACCACCGTATATTGTGACGGTGGCAACTGGCTGAGGTGTTTAGATTTGGAGGTAACCAGGAAAACCTGGAGTGGAGTTTTAGTGGCCTTAGTATTCTCCTATTAATCAAGTGGAATGGATTTGTTCACGAAGAAAGAAACCGCGTTGCCTGAACTAATGTTTCATAGTAAAAGTGTGTGTGTGTGGGGGTGGGGGGGTGGGGTGGGGGGGTCCAAATGAACGTTTTTGGAACGTGGGGGGGACTTGTCCCCTTCACATATAATGTTTGCGATGCCTATGCTGCTCTTTCATATCTCTATTAGAACTTCCTCAAAAATATGTTGCTCCAACGAAATGTTTGCTCAACGAATGGCGGCAGATTTGTAGCCTGTATGAGTTTGTGTTTGAATGTTTCTGAAGGAGCCTGAGAGGAAATGTGCCTGTTTATGACAGAGCACAGTTATCTGTGATTGTAAGAGCCTACAGATTAAAACTTGTGAGTTTTTCTAAAAAATTTGACTACAACTCGTTCTTTGAGATAATCCCTCACCTACCACTTCTCTCCTCAGGACCCAATTCTAGATGGAGTGAAGCCAACCAAAGGTCCCAAAGCCGGGGGCACACTCATCACTATTTCAGGAAAATTTTTGGACACCGGCAATAAGGAGGATGTCCAGGTTAACATTGGAGGCGTGGACTGTGCTGTGTAAGAATTTATTAATTATTATCAATCAAGTTGATTCAGTCTCGTCAGATGTTCTTTAACTCTTCACATTACTGTCTGAGAATACATCGGAGAGCTGTAGAAGCAATCCATTAGTCATAACGGCTCTGCTGGTGCAGCTACTGAGACAACATTACTCCACTTAGCTGAATATAGACTCCAAAGAGCACAGCATCTTTGTCACCAGGCTGTTCAGCTTGTTAGCTCCTGACCCTATCCTGTGGAACGCAACTCTCATCCAGCCAGTCAAGAGTAGCATGTGTCATTTTCCAAAGTCAATATGTTTTCATGTTTTATATTGTTATTTGTTTTATAGTGCAGTTTTTTCTACCATGGATTTTATTAACTTGCAAATTTTAGGCTTTTAGGAATGCACCAAGTATGCAGTAAAGCTCTCTCTCTCTCTCTCTCTCTGTGTGTGTGTGTTTATGTGTGTACGTGTGTGTGTTTACGTGTGTGTACGTGTGTGTATGTGTGTGTGTGTACGTGTGCGTTTACCGTATTTTTCAGCCTATAAGTCTCGCTTTTTGCATAATTTGCATGCCCTGCGATTTATATGCCAAAGCGACATGTTTGTTTTTCCCCCCATATTTATTAAACATTTTTTGGCTGAGATGTGACCATTTTCATTCATTCTGACTGAAAATATTGAACACCATCATTTTCAGCCACTAGATGGCACTCGAGTAGTATGGCATGCCGTAGCATCATGTAATAGGTAAAAATGGCTATTAATAACCCCTGTGATGGACTGACAACCTGTCCAGGGTGTACTCCGCCCCTCACACAGTGATTGCTGGACATGGGCACCGGCGACCCCCGTGACCCAAAATGGAAGAAGCAGGTAAAAGATAATGGATGGATGGATGGCTATTAATGACACAATTGGCTTGCAGTAACCCGCCATCTTCATCCAGTTTGCCTGGAGCAACTGTCAAATCAGCTTCATTTCGCTGCACCGCCCTGGCGAAATGAAGCTGATTTGACCATTGAAGTGCCTTTATTAAGGAAAAGTTCAACTGAGTCACACAATTATTATAATGTCAAACAAACAAATAATTATTTTTAGGTGTTTATCTTGTTAAATTTTGAAGAAATGCACAGCGAGTCGTCCCTCTGCGCGTTCCCGCAACCGTGAATCGGCTTCTGAAATGCAGCTGATTTGACCGTCAAAGTGCATTTATTAAGGAAAAGCTAAACTGAGACACCACTTTACTATAATTTCCAACAAAAAAAAAATTGTTTTTCAGTGTTAATCTTGTTAAATTCTTGTTAAACTCCTCCCGTGCACACTCCCGCAGCCGCCATTTGGCAGCCAATCTATTTTTGGCACACCGGCCCACATTTCCAGGTTGTCAGCGGTGACGCTTATCAAACACATCAGCGGTGACGCATAATAGATGTGACTTATAAGGCGAAGCGACGTATTTATGGATATTTCCACTTTATTAAGACATATTTGGACTGATACAACTTATAGGGCGGTGCGACGTGTATGGCGAAAAATACGGTACTTTTTGAGCCTTCAAATTTCCCCCTTTGGGATACATAAAGTGAACTGAATGAGATAATATAGCTACTTATTTTAAAACTTAAATCCTGTCAATGTTTTGTTTTTTCCATCTGTGTGTAAAATTAGAGACATTAGCTAAAGAATAAATGTTGAATAGACTTGTTTCTTTGACAAATTGCCTGTTTTTTTTCTTCTGATTGCTAATGTTCTTTGGAAATCAGGCTGCAGTGACATTTCAGTGAGAGTTAACAGAAGAATAACGACCCCAAGAAGTACCAAAGCTTGGACTTAACAAACTGTCAGGTGTCTGCCATGTTGGCTTGCACCGAACAGTGACCTTTCACTGCCCCCCACCCCCTCTCCTTCCCACCCACTCCTTCAATCAGCAAGTTCTGAGCTTTGTCCTTGTCTTGGCAGGGAGAACTTCGGAGAAGTGATTACCTGCAGGACTGGTGAATACCGAGCAGATAAGGTGCCTTCTGACCTTCTCCCTGTCACAATTCGCTATGGGAAGAGTACCACAAAAACCATCGCAGATGATGCCTTCCAGTTCATGGAAAACCCAACTGTACTGGATCATCAGCCTAAAGGAAGCTTTGTCTGGTCAGTTCAACAAAAACTTGCACCTTTACAGTGCAACATCAGCTGGTTCTGATTGATAGTCACAGTATCTGTCCCTACTTGTTTTATTAATGTTCAAAAAGAACACTTTAATAAAAATGCAGGGAAAATAGTTCCTGTTTTTCTGGTACATGTTAGTCTTCAGACCATTAATCATGAGGATAAAGTATACATTAGTTCTGTTGCAGAGATCTGCAAAGTAGATTTCCAGAACATTCATATATAGTCAATGACAAGTGTGGATTTGCTGTAGGTACAGGGCCTTACTTGAGGAGGAAGAAAAAAAATTAAATAATAAATCTTGCAGGTTTTTGCTGATTCCATTTTCTAGCACAGGGCTCATATTTAATCAAATGCTTTGCCATGAAACAAATTTATGATAAATTATGAAGGTAAAAACTAACAAGTACTTGTTTTCACCTGCCTTGTAAAGAATCTCTACATCGTCTAGTTTTCAATACATAAGATTTATGAACAGTCACATGCAATTAACCTAATGGCCATGACAGGCTGAAGTGGGACTATCGTGCATTACATTACAACAAACGGTCATCCAAGCACTTTGCTGTATCAACTGACAGCCTCACTCTAATGTGTTGTCTTGTTTGGATAGCTAAAGGAAATGTGTTTTCCTCGACCTGACTGACATAATCCAGACAGATCGATGAGACTTGGATCTCCAACTGAAGAGGTGTAGAAAATGTCATGAATACCATTGAGGTGAACAAAACAATAGAACCAGACACGGACTGGTTTGACCTTTAAAATAACTCTGTGCAGTGCAAAAGCAGCACAAGAAAGAAAAGGCTGCTGCATCAACGTTCATGATTGGAAGCTGGAAAGTGTTCAGTGCTGTAGATGCCTGAACACCCAGAGGTCCTGTTCAGACACGTCACTTTACATCTACCTCGGGTGATTCCACTGCAGGTGGTCAGCTTACCTGGCAGTTTATATGCAACCCAAATTGTTTTTGTGGTTCATTGTCCATTACCGTAATTTCCGGACTTTAAGCTGCTACTTTATTCACACGTTTTGACTGCAGCGGCTTATACAAAGCTGCAGCTTATTTATGGATTTTTATTTTTATTTTTATTTTTTTGACGGGTTTCATGCCGCCAAAACATTTAGCTTCATCACACCCGCTCACATAGCTGCCCAATACACCTCTCTCTTGGGGGGGTGGGTCCTCGTGACTCAATGAGACTAACTGGTTAAAAAAATATCTGGTCACAATGGGCCAATGAAACTTCATTGGTCCACTCTTTTCTCCTTCCCTCCCTGTTGTGCCCCAGGAGGGGGGAAATTAAGTATTTGCAGCCACTTGAAATAAGTGTGAATCGTAAATCAAGTCAAATCAAATCGCAAATTTGCCTCGAGATTAAAGTGACGTTGAGAGCAACAACGAAAAGAGAGACGGAGGACGTGTGTGATGAAGTTTTTCTGAGGTTGTTCAATTCTTTTTTTTTTTTTTTTTTTTTTTTTTTTTTTTTTTTTTTTTTTTTTTTGTGATGGCCTCCCTTCTCCCCTTACAGCCATCCTCTCCACACCATTATTATTAAATATTTATTATAGTGACATTCTAGTGTAGGGTTTTTTTTTTTTTTTTTTTTTTTTTA